TGGGTTATCTTTGTGTGTAACGTCCAAAGAATATGTAACGTCCACGTTAGGAATCTAGCGGGAAAGCCACAGCTCCCACCGAGGCGTACATTAGCAATGGGTGCATCTGGACTGCAAAAAAACCAACCATATTCCACTTGAGGGCTCTTCTTGAAGGATGCAATGATTCTTCTGAACGGATTCCTCTTCATCTCCTTCCCTACGAAGATGCAAAGAAACCACTCACCCCCACCCCCCCAACAAAAAAAGTCAAACCCAATAAAACTCTTGACGTTGAAATTTTCAGGAGCTGGAATTTAACCACTGAGATTCTCCGGAGCTAGAATTTAGCCACTGAAATTTTCAGTACCTGGAATTTAGCCACTGAAATTCTCAGGAGCTGGAATCTAGCCACTGAAATTGTCAGGAGCTGGAATTTTAGCAACTGAAATTCTCAGGACCTGGCAATTAGCCACTGAAATTCTCAGTACCTGGAATTTATCCATTGAAATTGTCAGGAGCTGGAATTTTAGCAACTGAAATTCTCAGGACCTGGAATTTAGCCACTGAAATTGTCAGTACCTGGAATTTAGCCACTGAAATTCTCAGTACCTGGAATTTATCCATTGAAATTCTCAGGAGCTGGAATCTAGCCACTGAAATTGTCAGGAGCTGGAATTTTAGCAACTGAAATTCTCAGGATCTGGCAATTAGCCACTGAAATTCTCAGGACCCGGAATTTATCCGCTGAAATTTTCAGGAGCTGGAATTTAGCCACTGAAATTCTCAGGAGCTGGAATTTTAGCAACTGAAATTCTCAGGACCTGGAATTTTATTCAGTGAAATTCTCAGGAGCTGGAATTTATCCACTGAAATTCTCAGGAGCTGGAATTTTATTCAGTGAAATTCTCAGGACCTGGAATTTAGCCACTGAAATTCTCAGGAGCTGGAATCTAGCCACTGAAATTGTCAGGAGCTGGAATTTTAGCAACTGAAATTCTCAGGACCTGGCAATTAGCCACTGAAATTATCAGGACCCGGAATTTATCCACTGAAATTTTCAGGAGCTGGAATTTATCCACTGAAATTCTCAGGAGCTGGAATTTTAGCAACTGAAATTCTCAGGACCTGGAATTTAGCCACTGAAATTCTCAGGAGCTGGAATTTTAGCAACTGAAATTCTCAGGACCTGGAATTTAGCCACTGAAATTCTCAGGAGCTGGAATTTTATCCAGTGAAATTCTCAGGACCTGGAATTTAGACACTGAAATTCTCAGGACCTGGAATTTAGCCACTAAAATTCTCAGGAGCTGGAATTTCGCCACTGAAATTCTCAGGAGCTGGAATTTCGCCACTGAAATTCTCAGGAGCTGGAATTTAGCCACTAAAATTCTCAGGAGCTGGAATTTCGCCACTGAAATTCTCAGGAGCTGGAATTTAGCCACTAAAATTCTCAGGAGCTGGAATTTAGCTACTGAAATTCTCCGAAGCTGGAATTTAGCCACTGAAATTCTCAGGAGCTGGAATTTAGACACTGAAATTCTCCGAAGCTGGAATTTAAACACTGAAATTTTCAGGAGCTGGAATTTAGCCACTGAAATTCTCAGGAGCTGGAATTTTAGCAACTGAAATTTTCAGGAGCTGTGTTTTATCCACTGAAATTATCAGGAGCTGGAATTTCGCCACTGAAATTCTCAGGACCTGGAATTTAGCCATTGAAATTTTCAGGAGCTGGAATTTAGCCACTGAAATTCTCAGGAGCTGGAATCTAGCCACTGAAATTCTCAGGAGCTGGAATTTTACCAACTGAAATTCTCAGGACCTGGAATTTATCCACTGAAATTCTCAGGATCTGAAATTTTAGCAACTGAAATTCTCAGGACCTGAAATTTAGCCACTGAAATTCTCAGGACCTGGAATTTAGCCATTGAAACTTTCAGGAGCTGGAATTTAGCCACTGAAATTCTCAGGAGCTGGAATCTAGCCACTGAAATTCTCAGGAGCTGGAATTTTACCAACTGAAATTCTCAGGAGCTGGAATTTCGCCACTGAAATTCTCAGGAGCTGAAATTTTAGCAACTGAAATTCTCAGGACCTGAAATTTAGCCACTGAAATTCTCAAGAGCTGGAATTTTAGCAATTGAAATTCTCAGGACCTGGAATTTATCCACTGGAATTCTCAGGAGCTGGAATTTTAGCAACTGAAATTTTCAGCAGCTGTATTTTATCCACTGAAATTCTCAGGAGCTGGAATTTCGCCACTGAAATTCTCAGGACCTGGAATTTAGCCATTGAAATTTTCAGGAGCTGGAATTTAGCCACTGAAATTCTCAGGAGCTGGAATTTAGCCACTGAAATTCTCAGGAGCTGGAATTTTACCAACTGAAATTCTCAGGACCTGGAATTTATCCACTGAAATTCTCAGGAGCTGAAATTTTAGCAACTGAAATTCTCAGGACCTGAAATTTAGCCACTGAAATTCTCAAGAGCTGGAATTTTAGCAATTGAAATTCTCAGGACCTGGAATTTATCCACTGGAATTCTCAGGACCTGGAATTTATCCACTGAAATTCTCAGGACCTGGAATTTATCCACTGAAATGATCAGGACCTGGAATTTATCCACTGAAATTCTCAGGACCTGGAATTTATCCACTGAAATTCTCAGGAGCTGGAATTTAGCCACTGAAATTTTCGGGAGCTGGAATTTAGCCATTAAAATTCTCAGGAGTTGGAATTTTAGCAATTGAAATTCTCAGGACCTGGAATTTATCCACTGAAATTATCAGGAGCTGGAATTTCGCCACTGAAATTCTCAGGACCTGGAATTTAGCCATTGAAATTTTCAGGAGCTGGAATTTAGCCACTGAAATTCTCAGGAGCTGGAATCTAGCCACTGAAATTCTCAGGAGCTGGAATTTTACCAACTGAAATTCTCAGGACCTGAAATTTATCCACTGAAATTCTCAGGATCTGAAATTTTAGCAACTGAAATTCTCAGGACCTGAAATTTAGCCACTGAAATTCTCAGGACCTGAAATTTAGCCACTGGAATTCTCAGGACCTGGAATTTAGCCACTGAAATTCTCAAGAGCTGGAATTTTAGCAATTGAAATTCTCAGGACCTGGAATTTATCCACTGGAATTCTCAGGAGCTGGAATTTTAGCAACTGAAATTTTCAGCAGCTGTATTTTATCCACTGAAATTCTCAGGAGCTGGAATTTCGCCACTGAAATTCTCAGGACCTGGAATTTAGCCATTGAAATTTTCAGGAGCTGGAATTTAGCCACTGAAATTCTCAGGAGCTGGAATTTAGCCACTGAAATTCTCAGGAGCTGGAATTTTACCAACTGAAATTCTCAGGACCTGGAATTTATCCACTGAAATTCTCAGGAGCTGAAATTTTAGCAACTGAAATTCTCAGGACCTGAAATTTAGCCACTGAAATTCTCAAGAGCTGGAATTTTAGCAATTGAAATTCTCAGGACCTGGAATTTATCCACTGGAATTCTCAGGACCTGGAATTTATCCACTGAAATTCTCAGGACCTGGAATTTATCCACTGAAATGATCAGGACCTGGAATTTATCCACTGAAATTCTCAGGACCTGGAATTTATCCACTGAAATTCTCAGGAGCTGGAATTTAGCCACTGAAATTTTCGGGAGCTGGAATTTAGCCACTAAAATTCTCAGGAGTTGGAATTTTAGCAATTGAAATTCTCAGGACCTGGAATTTATCCACTGAAATTATCAGGAGCTGGAATTTCGCCACTGAAATTCTCAGGACCTGGAATTTAGCCATTGAAATTTTCAGGAGCTGGAATTTAGCCACTGAAATTCTCAGGAGCTGGAATCTAGCCACTGAAATTCTCAGGAGCTGGAATTTTACCAACTGAAATTCTCAGGACCTGAAATTTATCCACTGAAATTCTCAGGATCTGAAATTTTAGCAACTGAAATTCTCAGGAGCTGGAATTTAGCCACTGAAATTCTCAGGAGCTGGAATTTTTGCAACTGAAATTCTCAGGACCTGAAATTTAGCCACTGAAATTCTCAAGAGCTGGAATTTTAGCAACTGAAATTCTCAGGACCTGGAATTTATCCACTGGAATTCTCAGGAGCTGGAATTTTAGCAACTGAAATTTTCAGGAGCTGTATTTTATCCACTGAAATTCTCAGGAGCTGGAATTTCGCCACTGAAATTCTCAGGACCTGGAATTTAGCCATTGAAATTTTCAGGAGCTGGAATTTAGCCACTGAAATTCTCAGGAGCTGGAATCTAGCCACTGAAATTCTCAGGAGCTGGAATTTTACCAACTGAAATTCTCAGGACCTGGAATTTATCCACTGAAATTCTCAGGAGCTGAAATTTTAGCAACTGAAATTCTCAGGACCTGAAATTTAGCCACTGAAATTCTCAAGAGCTGGAATTTCGCCACTGAAATTCTCAGGAGCTGGAATTTCGCCACTGAAATTCTCAGGAGCTGGAATTTAGCCACTAAAATTCTCAGGAGCTGGAATTTAGCTACTGAAATTCTCCGAAGCTGGAATTTAGCCACTGAAATTCTCAGGAGCTGGAATTTAGACACTGAAATTCTCCGAAGCTGGAATTTAAACACTGAAATTTTCAGGAGCTGGAATTTAGCCACTGAAATTCTCAGGAGCTGGAATTTTAGCAACTGAAATTTTCAGGAGCTGTGTTTTATCCACTGAAATTTTCAGGAGCTGGAATTTAGCCACTGAAATTCTCAGGAGCTGGAATCTAGCCACTGAAATTCTCAGGAGCTGGAATTTTACCAACTGAAATTCTCAGGAC